CCCAACCTGACTCACCTATTTCCCAACCTGACTCACCTATTTCCCAACCTGACTCACCTGCTTTCCGACCTGACTCACCTATTTCCCAACCTGACTCACCTCCTTTCCGACCTGACTCACCTGCTTTCTGAAAGGAGGTGAGTCAGGACGGAAAGCAGGTGAGTCAGGTCGGAAAGCAGGTCAGGTCAGAAAGCAGGTGAGTCAGGTTGGGAAATCGTGTGAGTCATCCGTTGGGAAAGCAGGTGAGTCAGGTCGGAAAGGAGGTGAGTCAGGTTGGAAAGGAGGTGAGTCAGGTCGGAAAGCAGGTGAGTCAGGTCGGAAAGCAGGTGAGTCAGGTCGGAAAGCAGGTGAGTCAGGTTGGGAAATAGGTGAGTCAGGTTGGGAAATCCCTGGCGGAGGCGGAGGTGCAGCAACAGGCGCCCAGGGTGGCAGAACTGGAACACATTGTCGTACAACGCGACAAAATTCTCTCGGAGCTAGCGGTGGAGCGGGCCACTGCCGCCAGGGTGGTGGAGGTGGAGGCGGTGCAGGCGATGGTGCAAGTGGCGGCACATGTGGCAGCGGAAGCAGCAACCAAAGCGGACTGTGGAGATGCTGGAGGTTTTTGTGGAGGCGGCAGTAGCGGCGGCAGCAACAGTGGCAGCGATAGCGGGGGAGGAGGCAGCATTGGGGAAGGCGGCAGCAGACGGGAGGTTACAACTGCGGCGGTGGCAGTGAAAGAAGCTGAAGGGCAGGCCCTGGAAGCTGCCGTACTGGCACATGCCGCCAGGTCCTAGCGGGGCCAGCTCACGGCTTGTGTCGGCTGCAGCGGATGTTGGAGCGGCAGTGGCCGTGGTGGTGGCGGTGGCAGCGGTTTTGGTGACATCAATGGGTCGGTGGCCATCGCTATCGTGTCACCACTGCTGCCATGACCACCGTAGCATTTGCAACGGCGGCGGACTTTACGGCAGCTTCCGTGAACACGGACAGAGCGGCTACACTGTGCAGGGCAGGTTGGGCCAGGACAGGAGCACAAAGGGCAGGGTGACCTTGGCCAGGTGTCAATCAACAGGGCGCGGAGGTGGTGTCGGTGGCGGTGGCGATACACACTCCTAGGGATTCCTAGAGAGGTGGCGTATATCGTATAAGCAGCAAGCTCAACGTCATGCAGGACAGCGCCTCCTTACCCGCGCTCCTGGCGTCCATGCTACCGGGCATCTTGAAGATCCAGTACGACAGGTGCCGGGCGACAGCCTCCGCACACCGTCAGCCTTCGCAACGAGCGCACCACATTTCCGACATGGGGAGCAGCACCATGGGGGAGGCGGAGGCGACGGTAACCTATCGCTGCTGCGCCGCTGACTGTCGCGCCGCGGCACGGTATGATGTACGGATCCTCAGGCGATCGACGCATCGGTCAACGGCATCGCAAGTGGCGCGGCAGCAAAGCCGCATTGCGGCCCGGGATGCGGGATCCAGTGCATCATGTGCAAAGACGTGCACTTCGACGAGTCGCGTCAGCATTAGCAGGGGCTGGGTTGATTGGGGCTGATGCTCCCGGCACGACATCGCTGCCCATGTCGGTTCCGGGGCAGAGAGGGCCAGAGCGTTGCCGGCTCGTCAGCCGCCGACGCGCGAACAAGCTTTGCGCCTTGTGCCCCAATTTTACTTTTCGGCAGCATTCTTGCGCAATCCCGCAGGTCAGTAAATAATATATAATTCTAGCTGGGTGCACCGATAGTAGTGCTACTCTTTCAGTAGTATCGGGACGGATCGCGGGCACAGAGAATGAGTGCAAAAAGGTAATATACGGGTGGTAATTAGCGGACGCAGATTGCCGTCCGACTTGGTCGCCTTCCTGACGACACCCTTTTCCTGGCGCTGTGTGACCCGCGGGACGTTAAAGAATAGTACGACGCTTCAGAATTAATTGCTTTTCCATACAGATTCGCTTTTAAGGGCGTACTTCAACTTATGATCGTGCTTAAAAAAAATTTGCGAAGGCCCCAAACAAGCCGCTGCGCACCCAGCCTTGTAATTACAACGGGGACAAGAATATCGAAGACAAGAACCCCTTCTTGTAGTACGCTTGTAAAGGTTCAATCGGCCATTTCCGTCAAGGGCCGAAAGCCATGGGCAAAGCCGCGGGCTAGAAATGTCTACGTATGCAGCTCCCGATATGCGGGAAACAATTTCCAGTTTTCCTGTGAATGGTGGTACCGGTATGTGACAACCCAAAGCTGGAAACTCCTTCCTCCATGCTAAACTGCACAACGCCAGGACAATTCAACTGAGAGACATTTTGCAAATCAGGTAGAAAAGGCACCTAACATTTAGATCCCTGTCATCAGATATCCGCAAGGGAGGTCGATAACCACGGGGAATGACTCAGCATTTCAGAGTTTAGATTTTCCGTATAACGCCGTACAAGCTGTAATGCCGTATTGCCGTTCTCCCAATTCCTACCGTTGACCGTCAGCATGCTAGTCCCTGAAGGACGACAGGAGACTTTAGCCGGCTGGTGGCAAACGACATGTGCGACTGTGTGTTTTGTATGCCTTGGAGTTGCAGTGGTTAATCGGTGCGAATGTTGCAACGACTATCTCAGGCCCACCGCTGGAGAACAGCATCAACAGCTTTGGAGTCTAGTAGGCTGAGAAAGCTATGGCTGCTTACAGCAATTTCAGGAGTGCTTAGCTCAAGGGCTCAGCTGACTGTCGCAAGGATGTCGTCGAAGGGTCCAATCGAAAAGTCAGACGCGAAATACAACATACTCGCTTTTGGCGATAGTCTTACAGAGGGCAAGTTTGGTTATGAAGCTAGGTAACACGACGTCAGGCCTCTCGACACTTGACGCAGTCGCTGTCGGCCATTCGCAGGCTTCTACGATTCTGGCTTCCGTTTCCATCCTTATAGTATCAAATTGAATGAGCTGTTAGCAAGCAGTGGATACAGTGCAAAGGCGAGGGTGTCAAAGCGTGTCGTTGCGTTCAAGGTGTTGTGCAACATCCGTTATCCGACTGGGCATTGGCTGTAGGTGTTTGAACGCGGCAACAGCGGAGAACGCGTTGTCGGTGGTAAGCCGTCGGGGCATTCTCCTTTTTGCTAATCTATCTGCCTCTGTGCTTTGTTCAAACCAATATCGGTGCTGCGCGCGCTAGGCACCAAACCCCCTGGCGCAAGACTTGCAAGCTCCAAACTCTGCCACTCCTACCCCTATGATAAACGCCAGTCTGCTTGCACTGCAGGCATGGACAGACGGCTTCCGGCGCTATTGCAGCACTTTGAGCGCAACGGCATCAAGCTCAGCTGGGTTCTCATTCTAGGGGGCATCAACGACCTAGGTGCGCGTGGAGTCGGGACGCGAGGCGTCGTGCGGTTCCCTTGGATGGTACCGCTGGCTGACACGCTTAGGACGACATAGCGTTCCATAACAACATCACACTGTTCAAAAACCATAGGGTCTGGAGTGGGTGCTCCCTGCTATCGCAGGTTTCGGAGCCACCATTAGAACCATGTATCTGTAGTTACGACCATCCATAACGTCCGTCGTGAGCCATGTCAATTCCTTCCCTTAGCAACACACAAGCAAACCTTGTAGGACATTCTTACATATTTGGCATCCATTTCATTAATCTTTCCAAGTTTTCTCATTTCATAAGTGATTGAAAAAACTCCCAACTTCAGCAAGGAAGGCCTCGCTATGGCGTATGTAGTGCCCCTCACTAGCGGCACAGCTTCAAACACAGCTTCACCAAAGCACCCCCTGGACAAAATCCCCTGGAGAGCAAGCCTTTCTTTCGAAACGAAAACACGCCAATCTGCGACACGCATGACCGGCCGTATCAAATCCCAACCATTTGCGTCACCACAGCGAATTACTCTATTAAAATCCCCCTTCCCGGGCTCTCTCTCTCTCCCGCACACTCATACATACACACATACCCACGCGGTGCGCCGACAGGCTACGGTGCCGACCCAGACGCCGTTCATGCCGGCTTGTTGTCGCTGTACGCTGCCTGCCAGCAGCACGGCGCCCGTGTGTTGGCCATGACCTGCCTCCAGACGGGGGGTTCGCTGGGTGACGTGCACGACGACCGCACCAAGCTCAATGAGCTCATCCGTGGAACTCCCGCCGCCCACGACTATGTGGAAGTCCTTGACTTGGTAGGAGGGGAGAGGGCTTGGTGAGGGGGGGCCTTTGCTTGGTGCTTCAAAGGGCGACGTGCGCGTGGTGTTACTGGCCTGGTGAGGTTGGTCAGGCGTGAGTAGCCCTGGCACTGCCCTGGCAGGGCAAAAAGGGGTATCGTCGTTAGACGGTACAGATGCCGGTGCAGACGTGGGGCATACAGCGATGCGAGCAACAGCAGCTCCTGGGCTGAGAGGGTACCGGATGAGTTGTGGTTTGGGTGAGAACGAATGAGAGTGAGGACGAATTAGCCTCTGATTGTGCGTTTCGCGCCCTCCGCACTTCCATGTGTTCTCGCGAGAACACCTGCTCGACGCGCATGTTTACATGCCCATGTTTCGCGGGGCCCCCTGCGACAACTATGGAGGGGGCGCAATTTCAATAACGTTCTCCCCGGGGGGTTTCCAATGTTATGTCCCGTCGGGGGTTTTCGCGCAGGACCCGCTGCTGCCCTTTCCCAGGAGCCGTGCTGACACCCAGACTGCCGCCTTGTGGGACGACTACCTCCATCTGACGCCTGCGGGGTACGATACCGTGGGGCAAATAGTGTACGACAGGTTGCGGAGCAAACTCGAGAAGTGATCATGGGCGGGGTGTGTGTGTAGGGCTGTAGGGTGACAACCACCGCCGCCGCCGAGCAGCGGTGATGGTGGAGTCTCTGGAGTTATGGCCTTTTTGACCAGGAAGGGCGATTCCTTGCGTGATTATTGTGCAGGTTGTTGGTCCCGCTTGAAGGGTACAGGAAACTCGCGAATGGTTTAGAGCCTTGAAACCCGAAACCCTGAGTTACCGGGAAGATACGCCGTCGTACGCTGTCATGCGTTAGCGATGCTGTGGATGAGGAGGACGCGAAGTGTGGCTCACATCTGCGCGGAGGTAGCTAGCCATCCGACGTTGCGAACCATGGCCGACGGCCGACGGGGATGGACGGACCTGCCCCCCATCACGATTGAAACGAAGCTGAATGGTGCACCATCGGTAAGGGCCTTTTGGTGGATGACCGGGGAACCAACCGGGAGGGCAGATGCGTGCGGTGGGTGGGACATGTGCATAAACGTGGCATGGCGCGCGCTGCGTAACGTTACGCGACGTCACGTGATCGTCATTGGTCCAACTTTGGGGTGCTTAGGACAATACGGTGCGGATTGTGGTGGTGGTTTTGAGAATGCCGGTGGTTTTCTGGTACACTTCCCCCTTTCGGCGCGGTAGGGCTGTCATTGCGAATACGGTTTGCCACGTTGAGGTGTGTGTGTGTGTATAAAGGGGATGTGTAAGAAAGTCCAAGCTCTGGTGGGCTGGGCTCTTCCACCGACACTCCTTTCAGTGATTGTCCTCCGGGGTATCATAATGATTGCGTATGGGGTGGTGGTAGTGCTAAGTAGGGGGTATGTAGCTTCACCCGTGGCCTGGCAGTCCCTGACTTTCCTGATGTTTCGGCGCACCCTCATCCTCCTGACCCACATGCCGACTTCTGCAAACTCAGTCACTTTCGAGTTGGAAACACTCACCGCTAACATCCAATGGGATCTACAGGATAAACGACGGCGTCAACTCCACACCTGGTTGGTTCGCAGGACTGTAGCATGCAACGTAGTCCATTACCATCCATCAGCACGGAGATTGCACCCTCCCTCAAACGGCAGGAAGATTATGATCCCCTTTTCCTCTGAATCAATCCATGAACCTTGATACCGATACTTCTCAGATATCCTCCTGTAACCGATACTTCTCAGATTTCCTCCTGTAATCGACGACCCAGATACCGGCTGTTGGGAGAAGGAAGATAGCTCCCACGGCACGGAACGGTGGTACGAATGACGTCATCAGCTCCTTCGCACGCTGCGCGTTTGGGCGGATGTTAATAATGCCATGTACTTGCTGGCAGTGGTCACCGCTGCAGGATTGCACAACCGTCACACCCGCTAATGGGAAGCGCCTACAAGCTTTCCCTTTTTTCCTAGGACTGCGGCCGAACGAGTCGTTAAAATAGGTGTGCTCCTGGGCACAGCATGGCCGTAAAGCACGTCCGGTATTACAGAGACTTCGCGTCGGCATATGCTGCTTTCCTTAGATTGTTGGAGGCAAGGACTTCGCCGATTTACTGGCATGTCCACCGTTGGATAATGGGTTTGGTGACTTGTCCGGGCTTCGATGAACTTCCTTTGAAATGAAAGGAAGCTATGAACGCATGTCTCTGCGTGTTGTCTTCAAGGACTTAAGGTCGCCGTACCATAGTTCCTCACGGGTAGGTGTAGCCGCATCGCTTTGGCCGTCCCGACCCGTGGGACGCAGCTGTGACGCTACATCCGCAATGACTTTGCCACTAATTTTGCCACTCAAACGGGGCATGAAGGTGGGTCTCTCCACGCGGAAAGATCGTTTTTGCATGGAAGAAGAATGGAAGCCTGTCTGATTTCTTGGGACACTTTTAGCCATCACACATCGTCTTAACCATCACACCATATCATGCTATTGATGAATGAAAGTGGCTAGGAAAGAAGTTTGCGTTGTCAGCTTGCGGTCCGCAGTCGGTTGGAGTTGGGTAGGCCGAAAGTTTCCCAAGATATGTACTGTGCAGCAATACAGACATCCCTCCCACAAAATCATATCTATTATTCATGCAAGTCTAACATCACATTTTGCCGTCGTGATCATTATCGGAAGTCTTTCGGCTCCGAAGCGGCCGAAGTACATTAAGCTAGCTGGCACTAACGTAACATAGGACATTTCATGCGGGTCCATTTGGTTTCAGCTTGGTGAGCCCGACTGTCGCCATAGAAGCTCATACCGTATTCTGTATGCAAGTGTTGGACGAGAAAAGGCGCTGACTCGTCTTCTTGCGCCGTTTGATATACTATTTTTTGCATGATCAGTTGCTCAGCTGATTATTACCGAAACCCAGCGAGATAAGCTGCACTTCGGGACGGTTCATTTGGTTCGTGCTGGCTTGGACGCGAACCAAATGTCGGAAACAGGAGAGTTACGACACGAAGTTGTGAAAGAAGACGGCACAGGTCTTCCGTTGCTGCACATATATCTTCCGGAAGGGTTGACGGCAAGGTGGGGAAAAGGGCGCCGGATCCGTTGATAGATCGCTTATTGCAAGTCCTGGCCTAGAGTAGTCTACCGTTTCGAGGTTCATAAAGCAAGCCCCCGTGATATACCGTGTTTGTCATAAGGTACTAACATGATTTCGCGCCTGCCCTGAACGGGTCGCCGCCCGCGCATGACACAGCGACGTGGCCGTGACCAGTGGCAGCAGCCCAGATGTGGCCGAGGTCATCCTTGAGGAAATCGCAACGGAGAAAGTTCTGGGCTTGATACTGCTGCGAGGTGCGCTGGTATGGGTGCAAGACTGTCGGTCGTTACGGCTCGCCGGTCATTACGGAGCAACATCGGTTTCACCTTCAACGCTGCCGCCCAGATGTTGTCGGACCTCGAATTGCACGGTGCATCGGTCGTGAGACTCTTCACGCCCAGCTTGTGTCACGGTTTCGGTGTTCAGGCAACGGGGGCCCCCTGGTTATTGCGTGTGTTTTATGTGCCCAGGCCGCTCACGATGCTATTTTCACACAACTATCCCCTCGTATGGTATGCGACGCAACTCTCGGATATGCGCTGTGCCTGAGGCCGTCGTGCAAACCTAGGGTTAGTGCGGCCAAGCAACGCTTAGGTCACCCGACATGCCTCATCTTCTGCTGTCCCAGCTTTCCTAAAGAAATACGTCCATATTAGCTAACCTTTTGATCTTCTTGTTGGCTTCCCCTGATATATTTTGGTCCCCGCAGGCTACTCAGTGTACCAGGACGACTCTGTGGCGAAATACAGCAGGAAGCACCGGCGCTTCACCATTAGGTGAGTCTGCCTTCCCTGCAGGTTTCGCAGGACTAAGCACCGTGCAGGAAACAGCGAAGCACAAGGTCACAAAACAATGTTGGCCTTTGTATGTTAAGATGGACACAGACATTCTTTCCCAAGTCATTAAACAAGCAGAGATAGGACGACAAAGCTCAAGGGCGCTGCCGGTGTTTGATCTTGGCCACCTTGCTGCAGGTTGGAAGCTGCAATCACCGAGCCACCTGCTGCCCCGTACGGGGAAGATAACGGAGCCCCTGAAAAGCCCAACTTATCCACGAACTCGCCCGTAAAGCCCAGCTCCTCGACCAGCTTGACCGCATCACCTGTGGCTCCTTGGTCATCGCCGCCAGCCGGCACCGGCAATAGCTTTGGTTTGCTGGATAACGACGACGTCTCCGATGACGAGGGGGCCGAGGCTGAAGAAACGGAAAAGAAGAAGAAAAAGAAGAAGAAGAAGAAGAAGGGCAAGAAGGCCGGCTCCGGCGGGGGGGAGCAAGGAGAACCGGATGCGTCTACTGCAAACGGCAACCACGCGGATGGCAGCGCGGACGCTGCAGCTGGCGGGGATAGCAGCGGTGATGAGGCTGAGGCAGCACCGGCAGCCGGCGGGGAGGGTGCTACTGCCGCAGCTAAAAAGAAGAAGAAGAAAAAGAAGAAGGGTACTGCAACTGTTGCTGCTGTCGCTGCTCCGGCAGAGGAAATGGCAGAGGTTAGCAAGGAGGCCCCACCGGCGCACACCTCCCCCCCCCCGCCAACATCCCGCGCATTGCCGTCACCCCCTGAGCCGCTGCCGCCAGCCCCCAATGCCGCGCCGACATCCGCGAGTGCCTCGGCCCCTGCATCCGCGCCCATTCACAAGCATGCCTCCCGTGCCATGTCCGTGGACATGGTGGAGGACTTTGGGGAGGAAAAGGTTGGCAGTTTTGAGGTCGGAGCAAGCTTGGAGCATGATCCGCTTCTGGGCCCCGCGGTGCATCACTCTCTGGGCAAGGCACACGTCAAGGGCGAAGACAAGTCGCTGGAGGTGAGCTCCGGGCCCTGAGCTGCAAAGGCGAAGGAAATGGCGCTTGTGCATACAGCTTCTGAGGAAGATACATGACGAGGTTAAAGATTACGACAGGTTACCACCTTGTTTGGGCAGCCTGTCTGAGGGCAGGCGATTTCCCTCCCATGTTGCAGCTCCACATTGCACGGTTTGTTCCTGGCCCATCTATGCAGGCACCAACGAACTCATGGTGTGTCAAGGGGCTTGACGGTAAGTTCCTTGCGCTGTTCGTGGTGTTTCGGTTGATGAGAGGCGATGCAGAGTTACTCTTGGGTGCATAACGAGCATTTGTTGGGCGATAAGGACCAAGATAACCTCGGCAATCGGTGCATGCAAATTTCTGAGTAAATAAATATATATGATATTTCTTATCGGATTCCTGCACTGCGCCGGAATATGCGAAGGGTGGCCGTACCGACGCTACTTCCTTGGGTTGGCAGCTCGGAACCGTTGTCTCACCTCATGGTACATCATGAATGCATACCTCCTATACCGCACAGTACATTTACAGGATACCCAATAGCATTTACATGGAGGCACTAAGGGACGTCTGAGTCTACATCCCCGTGCAGGTGCTGTGACGCCCGTCTCGGCGTTCGGTATATTTGATGGCCACGGTGGCCGTATGGCGGCACAGCATGCAGCCAAGCACCTGCTCCCTCTCGTAGCGCGTTTCGCGGAGCGCGCTGTAGGACCCGAGGCGCCTGGCAGCCCCGCGCAGTTGGCGGCAGAGGGCTATCTGCCCGCAAACGCAGCCGAGGACTCCCCGACCGGGTCGGGGGGTGATGAGGCCGAGCTTGAGCGAGCGCGTGTGGCGGCGGCGCAAGACGCGCTCATATCGCGATTGCCAAAGGTGCGTATTAGGGCCAGCTGTCGAGGAGCTCTGAAAAGCGAATGCGGACTCTGGTGACGGCGACAGCCTGTGTCGAGGATCAGTAATCGAGGCGGCAGCTCCACGGCATGCAACACAGCTCAACACAGCTTGGCCTCACGCCCTGCCGTCGACCTTTCTGAGGCATGTAATCCGAAGTCCCGCCCTAGAAGCAAGTTTTTTGACCTGAATTTTCAAGGTGCACTGTTGATCAAGCCGATCTCTGGCACGTGCGTTCGTTCGTAGCCCGTTGCATTGCATCATGTGTGTCACGCTGGGGAAATCCCGGGTCGCGTGCCCTGCAGGCGCTTCACGCAGGTTTCGTGCAGTGCGACGAAGACGTCAATAGCCGCCATAAATCCTCGGGTACCACGGCGACGCTGGCAGTCCAGGTGGGAGTGAGGGCGTATGTTTCGAGTAGAGCCCGTCAGGGCTTTTTCGCTGCGGGAAAGGGAGCAATGCAGCTGCCTGGGGCCCAGTGTAACGAGGTAGCGTTGAGGCAACGTGCGCGTGGGGGCCGTAGCGTATGCTGAACGAGGTGGAATCAGTGGCGGGAAGAACCTCATGGCGCCTAATGCGCCCGCCACGGGAAGTGGACACCCTTTTGGTCTGAAATGATGTGAGTTTAAATGCCCCTCGATAGAAATTCAATCCTCTTCTTTTCCTGTGCATCCTCCCGCTTTTCCGCCGTGGCTGCATCGATTTGCAACCGTTAGGTCGGTTGGGAGTTGCTGGTTGCTAACGTGGGTGACAGCCTGGCCTATTTGGATACCGGCTCCGAAATTGTGGTGGTAAGTATGGTAAATAGGTTTAGATGTTGAGTTCGTGGGGCCATGGGTGGAGTATTTGGCAGAGGGGGTGTCGTTGCAAGCGAACTGCATAGGGCTGTGCGACAAGCGGGCAGCAGGCGAATGCTCGTATCACCTGGCTATCCATCACCTCACCATGAACTGTTCAGAGTGTTTAGGCACATGGCCAGGTTAGTATGGATCTCAAATATTCTTCGGGCCCTCATCGTGGGTGGACCCTCACCTTCTCACGTGAAAAGTGGTCTGCAGGATTACAGCCACAAATGAAAATGCTGTTGTCAAGAGCTGCCAAAAGCCCCCAAGCTACATGCGAACCTGAGCACCCGTCCTACCGTTCATGTCCGTTCACAACGCGCAGATAAGCACCAATCACCGTGTTTCGGAGAGTACAGAAGAGCAGGAACGAATTATCAAGGCAGGAGGTAGGAGTACGGGGAACGTACGGATCCTGGTTTGGCAATGTATATGCTCACGCATACCGCACACATACCACATATCCTTGGCGGCTGGGGGATCTTCTACCTGCCTCCAGCCATGCATCTCTTCGTATCCTACCGGCCTTTCCTTGCAGGCCGCATCAAACCTGCCATGTATGGCGAGGACGACCTCGAGGGCGAGGGCTCCGGCAGCACCACGCCACAGGAGGGGCAGCAGCTGCGAGTGTGGCCGGGCGGCATCAACATGACGCGCACCATTGGTGAGCTGAACGAGCGCCCGTGAACTCTGGATCTGGGTCTTAACTTGCCGTGGGCATTTCCGGAGGTGATGCGGTGGTGTCACCTCAGCTGGGCAGGGCATCACATGCTCAGGACAGTTGCGGGCTCTTGAGTGTTGCGAGTTGATTTAGCGGGGACTGTTGGGTCAGCAACTCGAGGAGATACGGCATTAGGACTATGTCGCAAAGGGACTTGATTTTCCGTGCGGATGGCAGCGGCTAACCTTGTCAAGGTAAGTCTAAGGTTGCGTCCGCGCAGCGCCCTGCTGCAATGCACTCAGTTGTTCCCTTGAGTGTAAATGGCTCTTCCTTGTGCCTGTGCGTGCACGCCCCTGTGGGGTTATCCCGTTACCTAAGCAGTATCTGCATATGGCGTAAGCGTGCGTGCGCGAGGTCATCTACCGGGGGAATCATGCCGGCCCAGCGCAGGAACCACCCAATGACGCCCCGTTATGCCTTGCTTCGGGTCTTGTTGTCATGTAGCTAGCTGTTCAAGGCATGTGTAGAGAGATGACCTCCTAGTGAGCACCTGCGATGTCACAACTCTCTACTCCCTCAACTACGTTTCCGGAACCCCAGGTGACGACGCTGCCAAAGGTCTTCTCATCGCGGAGCCGTCAGTGCGACAGGTCTCTCTTCCCGTCACTGGTGCTCGCCTAATTATTGCCAGTGATGGCTTGTGGGACGCTGTCAACGCAAAAACCATTATCGGCCAGGTATGTGGCTTTTCCGAGACGTGGGGACCCTGGAGTGCTGTGTGCATGGAGTGCTGTGTGCGCTATGCATATGCACTGCAGTTGAAGATTTACACCGAGTTTACACCGAGAGGTGGGAATGAGCATGTCGGAAGGAGGGCGCTGTTTTTCCCAATCTGCGTTTGCGAGTTTTAATCCTTCAGCCTGCGTCTTTCTAATCGTGGCTTCACTCGCGCCGTCGATGTCCAGGGGCGCCTTGTTTCTTTCCCACCTGATCTCTTCCCTTCTGTGAAATTCTCTTCCGTACAGCTGCGAACAAGCAACGCCCGCGAGGCTGCCTCCAAGGCAGCTGTCTACGCCATGCGCCACAAGAAACACGACGATGATGTGACGGTGGTGGTGGCGGACTTTGTACCCCGGCAGAGCGACACGCACGTGCCCGGCCTGCTGAAGCGCGCGTCTGGGCCTGCGGTGGCAGCCCTAGCAGCGCTGGCAGCGGCGGGCTTGAAGGAGGAGCGCGCCGTGCAATCATGGCGACCGTTGGACTCGCACTCGGAGAGCTGGAGGTAAGGCGGGAAGCACCCTTCTGGGATTGATTGGGTGCCTGCTTTACCATGAGATGATGCTCCATAATACACGATACGGCATGAACGGATTAAACCATTCTTAGGGAACTGGTTCCTGCGCCCAGTCGAAGGTCCAGGTTGTGGCGCTGCATCGGGCCTGCATGCAGTCATCCTGCTTGCTGTCCTATGGGGGTGTTAGGTATTTGCTCCGGATCGGTTTCTGTTGCGTTGTTACCTGCATGCCGGGCCATCATAAGTGTCATTTGCTCCTCGTGATGCAGGAGGGGGGCAACTGGGGGCCCGGGTAGAGGAATTGGACGCGCCCTTACCTGCAGCTTTCGTCTGTAGCGTGCGGATGTGTGATCACTCTTAACGTCTTCTGGCCTCAGCCTGGAGAGGGAATTTGCTGTTTATGCTGTGGCTGTTTTCATTAATTGCAAATTGGTTTAAATCGCACTCGAGTCGCTTTCATTGGCCCGTGTGGTGCAGGGAGCGGCATCGGGCCCACCGGCAGCGCGCCGCTGCTTACCTGCACGAGCTTGAACTTGCGGAGAAGGCGGAGGCGGAGGCGGCGGAGGAGCTGGAGCGGCAAAGGCGGATGGCGGTTGCACCCGCGGCCGGCACTGCAGGCGTTGGTACGGCGGTACGACTGCCAGCCGTGTCAGACACGTATCGCGAGCTGGCCGAGCTGAAGGTCCCCTTAGAAGCGTGAGTTGATGTTTAATGGAGCATGGGGTTACGGCTGGCGGAACCGGAACTATGCGAGTTCTGCCAAATCGTAATTCATTCGCCTCGCCTGGATGGTGGTCGTAGCGGTAGCGCCCTGTGCCTTGTATCTTTGGCATGCCTAGTATCACCAGTTTGTGTACAAACTGCGCTAACCTACGTAGACCAGCTCTATGTCCTCTTGACACTGATAGCCTACATACCTATTGGGAAGGCCAATCCCATAGGAAACATAATTGGCAAGCTGAAATAGCGCTGGTTAAGCCTCTCCGGGTAACGCAACCGAGGCGTAAAACACACAAAAAAAAACATAGCGCCGGGTTGGAAGTCCACTTGGCCGTTCGGCGTTATTTTAATAAAAAAGGGATTGGAAATGAAGAGTCGTCCTTCTCAAACTTAACCCTCTTCCGTGGGTACGTTCCGCGTGGAATCCTTGCCAATAGGCTTAAGGACTTGAATGACGAACCAGCCTCCGAGGAGAACGATTGGACCCAGGTGGATGCCAAGAAGAGGAAGGACGCCGGATTCGATGTCCGGAAGGAGCTCATAAGGGCCGCGCGGCCAGGCGAGGGTCGGCGGGCACGGTCGCCCGGCAGCGGCGGCCGCGAGGAACGGCCTACTGAGACAGACGGCGGCCGTCGGGAGCGGCGGGATCGCGGTGGCGGCGACCGGGACCGGCGGCAGCCGCGCCGGGCGCGTGATGGTGGCACAGCCGCAATCGAGGCGACGGTCGCGGCCCCGGCAGCACTGGCGGCGGCGAGTCATAATGCCGAGGCAGAGGTACCGGCAGAGCAGCCGCAGCAGCCGCAGCCGGTAGATCAGCAGCAGCAGCAGGCGCCGCGGGCGGAACGACGGGAGCGAGGTGACCGGAGGGACCGCGGCGGGAGAGGTGGACGTAGAAGGGAAGGAGGGGGTACTGGGGCCCCGCGTAACAGCGGCTCGGCAATCTCAGCTGAAGCGGCAGATACTGGTAGCGCCGCTTCCGCGGCACCAGCGTCGACAATGCCGCCTGGCGTGGTAAAGACCTCTGGATATCTCTGCGTGCCGAGGTCACTGCTTACCGGCGGCTCCGGCCCCGCTGTGTCAGCGGCAGCGGGGCCGACGCCCGCGCCCCCGGTGGTGCCCGCTGTGGATGCGACCGGCATCGCGGTGGACGCGGGCAATGCCGGCAAGCCGCGGTGGGAGCGGGGCCCTCGCGCCGGTGCACGGAACCGCAGGGAGGGTGCTGCACCGTCGTCGGCTGCGCCACAAGACGGTACGGGCGGACCCTCGAAAGCTGGCGACCCGGCATCGGTGACAGCGGATGACAGCGCGGCCTACCAGCGGCCACCGCGTATCCGACGTCCTCGGGAACAGGATGCGGCCGCGGCGGCGGCAGCAGTCTTGACCGGCTTACCGACGGCGCCGGCGGCGGGGGTAAGGCCGGCGCCAGCAGCGCCAGCGCAGCCAATTCAGGCGCACACATCTTCCGCACCTCCGAGTGACGCAGCTGGGGTCCGCGAGGCGGGCTCTGGAAATCAGCAGCGCCGGGCGCAGCATTCCCATGCCGCAGTGCAGCCCACAAAGCCGGCACAGGAGGCCCGCAGCTGCTCTGTCCAGCAGCCTGAATCTGGGCATGCACACGCCCCTGCCGCCGCCCCTGTGCCCCCATCTGCCCCCTACGTGCCGCCAGCACAGCCGCAGGCAAGGCCTCAAACCTATCACCAGCAACCGCAGCAAGTACCGCCGCAACAGTCCCACCAGCATGCTGTTCAGCAGCCACAGCTGCAGCAGCACCAGCAGCAGGTGCCGCAGCGGCCTGCGGTGGTTGCATCTCCGCCAGCTGTCCCCACCTATGCAGGGCCCCTGGACTTCGGAGCGGGTTTCGGCCCGGCTTCCAGCATGTGGCCACCGTCGGGCGCTGCAGGTCAGTACGCTAGCCTCTCGTCGAACGGCGGAGCGGCCGTTCCCCAGCGCCCGCCCGGTTTGGCTGGAGGTCCAACACAGCGGAACCCGACAGAAGTGGCCGCTGCAGCTGCAGCCGCCGCGGCTGCCGCCGTCGCACGGAAGGCTGCTGCTGCCAGGGGTGGCGGCGGTCAGTACGCTCATGGGCGTAGCTGAAGCGGGGAGTCAGCCGCTGCCGTCCGTATGAGACGGTGTCGGGGCTGTCGCGGTCTGGATGCGCGACTGAAACCGTCGCAGCAGTAAAGGCGGCGTTCAGCAGCGCAGGAGGGATGATGGTTTGGGCGGTTATTATGAATGAACGCTGGCCTAGCTTTTCATTTAGTATTGGAGGTGCAGAAGGTTTAGGGCTGCAGCTCAGGGGTTCCACATGTCCACTGTTTCACTCGGGGGATGTCTATGTTGCTGCGTCAGCCACGTGGGACAGTTAAGCGGGTTGTTCGAGGGCACGGCCAGGCTGCAGCGCTGGTGGCGGTGGTGGTACTAGTATTAGATGGCAACCATGGCCACCGGACCACCTGCAAGGCCGGGGCATATTGGGAAGGACCCGTCCGCACAGCCGCTGTACGGTAGAAACAAGTTTGGGCAGTACGCCGTAGTCTTCGAGAGGGCAGTGTTTTTCGTTTGGGACGCGGGAAAGAAAGTTGCAGCGATGATGTAAATGCAGGTCGAGTAAGGAGGAAGCGAGGAAGAAGATGGTGCATGGCATGCGTGGAACCTGTGCGCCTAGCTCTCCATTGTGCAGCTCTGCTGCATCATGCAGCCGTTGGGTTCGCCAGTAGTTCCTAACCTGTGCACGTGATGAGCCGGTTCCGTAGCCTGCTGCATCCTTTTTTGTCCCAGAGGGGATCGCTCGTGCTATCAAGCGGCCTTCTCAAGCGGTCTGCAGCGTTTTCCTTGATCGATTAGCATCGTGTTTTGCCCCGCCTAGCGGCTTAGGCTTATCAGTCACAGGTCCTTCTGGATTGGCCTTTTGTCGTTGTGTCTCACACAGAATACGACCTCGACAGCTACCCAACAAACCAGTAACGACCTCCTTCAAGCTAGGAGAGTTGTCCCGATGAGTGTGTTCCTTAAGGACTTTGTTACGTTACATGCTTTTCTGTAACACACGTGCATTTTCCCACACCTTTGCTTGGTGGGTTGCGTGGATGCGTGATTAGGGGCGCTCGAGTCGGACTAAAGTCACAAGAGCCTGTCAACGAGTGGAACCGTATACAGTAACAATACTGGCGGTCAAGGCACAGACAAATTACTACCTGTCTTTCAAGTAGGTCGGGAAAGTCCTGCAACAGCAAGCAAGATGTGCTGTCCTGTTTGACCTCCGGAAAGGTTAATGCCCGCCTAAAATCCACGGAGACATTTGAGTTCGGACTGCAAGTTTACTTAGTCCGATGATAACCCCCTTCACAAATATTAAATGGTAATTCCGTACTTTACAGCTCCTCAAGGGGTATCCAGCAGCACCAAGCTGTGGATCTTCTCCCCTCTTCCCATGCTCCCTATGTACTATTTTGCCACTATTGGCAAAATTGACAGCAGCTACAACCGTATATGGAGAGGCCTCAAGACAGCGCCCACGCCCCAAAACACACCTCACCTGTACCCTCCTGCTTCCACGGCCTTAGCCTGCCGTGGCTAGGGACTCACGGACCATCCACACACGTTCCTCATACGACAGCGGGGGCCATTCCTCGCCTGACGGCGGGTCTTTGAAAAGGCTGTACTGCAGGAAGCCTTCACCTCCCGGGACACGGCGCGAGGCATGCGAGGGTTTGAGATGGCACTGGGGCGACAGGGCACTGGCAACCTTACTGGGCTGGGCTTCTGTGTCTTGTTGCAGTCCAGCAGCAACCGCAACAGCGCAAAGCAGCTTCAAGTCTCACCACGTTGCCTCCAGCTTCGTAGAAACGTCAGTAGTAAGGAGCGGGACGACAACATCCGTATTGTAACCCGCCAACATGTCGTTCTCCATAAAGTTTACCTCGATCCATGAAGCACTCAGACGAGGTGTGCAGTAGCAAATTTGGTGTAGGCCCTTGGCCAATGAAGCCGCCTGGATATGCAGTAGCAAGGAATAAGTCCTTTCGCCACCCCCAGGCGGTTTGCGATGCCCAGCATTAAGGGCCTGACAACTTCTCATGTAGTTGGCGAAATTCAGGAATGGTAGTGACAACGGCTGCGGTGTGGACACAGGTGATGTCACCACCGACGTTGGGGCGGCCAAGAGGGCGGCGGCGCCGTCGCACTTGTACGGCTTGGTTGCCGTACATTGACTCGGTGTACCGCGGCCAGTGTGTAAATGAGCGTTTCCATACACGTCACAAAACCCCCATCAACTCCTTGGAAATGTTTTTCCCTTAACTAGCTGGTTTTGTCCGTGTGGATTCACTATAACATCAAATTCATTCACTTGATGAATGGGTCGCGGCTTTTCGTTTGGGGAGGTGACATTTGTGAGATGATAGAATACGCTTTAGTTCTTGGAAGATGATAGGTATGCAACCTCTCGCTTGTGTCTTCACGCAACCTGCAGGACTGTTATAATGGTACAAGTGTATAATGCTTTTTAGACTTTCTTGAAGATAAGGGGTACCAGCCAGTTCTTTTTTGGGCGCGCTGTAACTAAGGACCCAATTTTTAGATCCTCACTCGAAGCGTCTTTCCACCATATGCAGGATAGCGTGCGAGTCGAGTGCCTCCTCCTTTTCCTCCCTTCCCTCCTGTCCGCTACCAGCTCCTTCTTTCCCTCCTGTTGTTGTTGTTGTTGTCGACTTATCCAATCAAACGATGCTCATGGCGAACCGAGAGATTCAACCAGAAAGTGCACTCACATGCACGGCCCACAAGGCACCACAATACATCTCCATCTGTTCACCGTACAGCAGGCGGGGCGTTAAGCCATGCACAACTAAACATGCGGACACGGCAGTAGAGGTTCACACATCCTCCCCTCTGCTGTACAACATAAACGCAAAACCTTTCTTCCTACCTGTCGCTATATTAGGAGAAAGCACGGCAGGTAAGAAGCGCAACAACCGAATCGAAAACCAAGCCATACAAACACCGGTCATGCATTACGACATCACATTCCTTGGGTCCCCCCCCCTCCCTCCCTCCCTCTAACCCACCTTAGCTCCTAGTCCTCGCACGTGAAATCCAGACCTTCACCAAGTAAGGGAGCGAGGCGTTATGGCCGGCATCCATCCCTCGCTTTCTTCCCTTCCCTTCTGTCCCTCCAACCACCCTCCCTTCCCATGCCCTAGAACAACAGGCAGCCGGAGAAATGCCATGCCGACGCCGGAGCTTCACGTGCTCAACCATCTCTTTAACACCCTGAAACAGCGCCACACAAGCAAAGATGCGACGTAGCTAGCACGACGTTATTCAACTCCTTCACGGAACGGACGGTCCACCAGGGGGTCAGACGACCTCACTCATCGCTCTTCCCACCAGGGACACCCGGCGTCAGTCCCACGCCCCCAAACACGGCCAACAAAAGGTGCACAACAAGAGACGCACATACAACGATACAATGCCATCGCAGTAGGTGATGTTTAGTCCGACGGAGTGTTATATCCGGGGACGAGGATGCGAGCCATATTCCGTCCTTGTCATTACCTGGGTGAATTAGCTATTACTGGACGTTAAGGAAAAAACAAAATGTGCATAATAATGTGCGCAAACAACACATAAGGTTCTGTCGCCCTTGACGAAACCAGAGCCACAAAACCGTCTACAGGGCCCCATCCACCCCTATCTGACACTCCTGTGCAATCATCATCATGAACACAGAGCACACAGGCACAACAACCAGCATACAGGCACATACGCACGTCTTCTTCGCCAGCTCGCGCCCACGGCTCAGATTTCTGCAACGACACGGTACAAATACATACATACATACACTCTTTGCGAGGGGAGATGTAGCACATCAACGTGCGATGCATTACGCCTCCGAAAAGCGACCCTAGTTTACCCTCGACCCTTTCGAACAGCGCATAGCGCACTGCCTCCTCAGGCACGTTTCCTTTGTTAACGACGTGCGTGATGCTGATGGCCCTTGTGATTTTCTTACGTAGCTGAGGCCCCCCTTCATTCAACCGTGATGCCCACCACCCAGCCACTACCCCACCACTACTCCAGAAGAGCCCCCCCCAAATGGCACATGGCAACAACGCCGTGATGGAGCCTACTTATGATAACCAACGACGAAGAGGAGCTACAGATCAAAACAGCAGCTGCCGTACCAACGAACCAACCAGCAACCGTCACCGTGCAATAGCGCCGCTACCGCAACAGTTGTGAAGCTAAAATCAAGGTCGCCGATCTTTTTGTTTTCAAGATCAGCTCCCCTTACGTGAAATCAGCTTCGAGACCTCCAACAATCGAGAGCTCTGGCTCGGCCTAGCCCATCAGCCCAGCCCAGCCTGCCCGGCCGCAATTCAACCTCCAGCTTCTATCATCTTCCTGCGGCAATACTGTATTTGCAGCAATAACAGCAGCGGCGGCAGCAGCAGTGGCAACTGGAGCCGCAAAACCCTTCTCTCGCGCACGGAGAGCGCGGTCAGGACTGTCAGGGGCCTCTGCAGACCTCTCGCCCTCTCGCCTTGCGGCTCCTCCTGCCAGGCCCCCCACAAGGCCCCCCACAGACCCCCCAGCTGATTTCCTTTCCTAACCTCTCCCGACAAGAAAGCTACCCTGTACCTCAGCAAAACGAAAACCCAAAAAATCAACACTGCACACATATACAGACACATACATACATACACACACGCACACAAACACGGTGTGGCATGTAATGTAATGTAATGTAATGTTACAGAGTGGGAAGCTTCTGGGCCGCTTTATCACATTGTCAGTTCTAGATCATTTATCACCTTATAGCACCATCCACCACTACCACACTGTACTTCGCCATACGAACTGTAAGTCCAAGGCGGCGGATCCAGCCTTCAGGGACCCCTCCTCATCCATTCACCCGAACACCCGAAGAGACGGAGGGTTCGGCAATCGCCACCAATCCAGCGTGCGAATCTGGTCCATCAACTCTGACCTCAACTGTGACCTCAACTCCACATCTCAGCAGCTAGCCATAATCTCGCGCTCCCGACTAATTCGGGGGTCTCCCCAGGAATCGAACCCAGGACCTTAAACCGCTAATTGCAGTAGTGTCAACCCAGACCAGTGTGGCATGTGACGTGTCACGTGACGAATGAACAACTTTGGCAACCCGCCCACTTACATCCAGAACGAGGTTCTGGCTGGATGCTTCTCCGCGAAGGACGGCTGCCATTACCACCGCGCCTGAGGCACCTGCCCGCCCCTCACCTCCTATATAGCCATAGCCGTAACGCCCCGAGCCCGCGGCGCCCCTCCGCCTCCTCTCCTCCCCTTGTAGCTCCTAGTCTTGCCGGGCCACTTTGCTGTATGTACCGCCAGGGGGGCCGATGGATGCTACCCCCACCTCGTCGCCAACCCCCCGCCACGAGCAACCCCCCGCCACGAGCAACCCCCCCAGGGGTTACAGCCACTGGTGCCGCAGGTAGTGGCAGCAGCAGCAGCAACATCAACAGGAGGAGGCAATTTAATAGCAGGTGCCGCCCTCCCCTGCTCCAGCTCCAGCTCCAGCAGCAGCAGCAGCACCCCCTCTAGAAGCTGCATGCTGCCGCTGCAGTTGCTGCTGCTGCTTCTGCTGCGCGGCGACGCCCCCCCATATGGCCTTCGGAGCGCTCGAGGGCGGCTCCGCAATGTCCGCTACCCGGCCATCGTCTTCCTCCGGGAAGAAATAGTCATCATCGTCCTCAAACTGAGGGGATGGAACAGGAGGTGGCATGGTGGCGGTTGAAATGGCGGCCATAGCCATATGGTTACGGCTGTAACAGCCAGGATATACCACACATGGAATTTCATGCCTTTGCTCATTATAAAACGCTAACCCCGCCACCACCATAACTACTACTACTACTACGACGACTATCATCATTACTATTAGTATTACTGGCCACTAGCGCCGACATTCGGTGGCGGGTGGCGAGTTCCCGCACCCCACCCCAGCCGGTGACATTGCGTATGCGTACCAATGCATACGCATCTGTACCGCCGCGGCTGCTGCTCAGTTATTGGAAGAACACACAAGAACAGGATCCCACACGACGCCATAGCACACCGCCGGACCTCACCGGCGTCACATGGCACGGGGTACGTGGGCGCCCCCCGGGCCTCAGACCTGATCAGAACACCCCACATCAGACGCACACAGGTGGCGCAGGCCCCGCTGATTTCCCCCCTTCCACCCCCACCCCCCCACCCCCACCTCGTAATGGTATTGTATTGGGTCTCGGAGCTGTTGGATGGAGCAACGGCAGTAAGAAAGTACGGGTGAAAAGGGAAGGACAGACGTATTCACACACAGACAGCGGTGTGAGGATGTGGCCGGGAGGAGAAGGGAAGGGAAGGGAGGGATGGTGGCAGAGGAGGGGAGATGTTGCAATGTTACAATGTTTGGGGAAGGAGGCAGGGAAAAAGAGGAAGGGGAAGAAGGGGCCCAAGGGGAAGAAGGGGCCCAAGGGGACGTGCCGCTAAGCACCGCACCGGGTAAAGATCAGTGAAGCAAATCATATGAATCACAGAAAAAGGGCAACCCTGTAGAAATTAATCTGTGTAAATGGATCCTATCATTTCATTTCACGTGGACTGATGTGTACGGACAAAACCCCATTAAAAGCTGTTCGCCCAAACCCCGCCGGGGGCTCCCGGGGCAAAAACCAAATTCAGGCTGGGGGGTGAGGGGGGTTCTCTTCGTGCCATTCATGTCCACTCCGGCAACCTCCGTGCCGCACACACGCACCTGCTCATCCGCAAGCATGGCCGCAAACCCGATTGTCATGGTGACTTTCTCGCCGTTGGGTTTGAGCGCGGAGACCTGCGCGGGACGGAGGGGAGCCGCGGCACAAACATCTCTATACTGTATATCTACATGTATATGCATATGCACATAGATATATGCATATGCATACATAGATATATGCATACATACATAGATATATGCATACGCATACGTACAAACATGACGTCCATGCAGTATATGACATATCTTGCTTCGGGACTCAACTTGCAAAAAATGTGTTACATCCGTCACCAGCACTTTTCGCCGTGACGTACTTCCCGACCCCTACTCAGCAATAGTACATCATCAGAGTTACAGTCTTAAAGAGTTGAGCCGACTGAGGTGCACCACCACCACCATCACCACATGCTCGTAGGTGCGGGTCGTTTGAATAAAATGACCTTCCCGCGCTGTAACCTCTTCCCCCCGTAGCCGCTACGGGTGACACCCCCCTTGCCCTCACCCTCTCTTTCCCTATCTGCGTATTACTGAGCCTGGGCCTATCTGCGTATTGAGCCGCGGCGGGGTCTCTAGAGCAGGTAAAGCCAGAGCAGGTTTCCCCCCTGAGAAGCAACGAAGCCAATCGCCACCGTTTTCTTGTTCTTTTACTTCGATCCCTTTTCCCGTGCCGTCTGTTTTCTCCTCTCCTTTCGATAAAAGTGTGGTTGGGCGGTTGGGGCCGCGACGTACGGGGGGTTCCATCCTCGTTCCGGGGAGCGTCCCACTTTGCCCTCCTGCTTTTTATCATCTACTAGAGCCTGTTTCACTGCCTGGTGGCCTGGTGGCAGCCAGCGGCCCGCGCCAACACGCAAAACCCCCAGCGCTGGCCCCACCTCCTTACTATAATGAGTGTGCGCCTGTGTGTTTGTGTGTCTGTCTGTGTTTGAATACCTGAGCCGTGATATGGGAAAAGGCCGAAATGGGAAGAGAGTGTGTGTGTGTGTTGGGTGTTGGGTGGGGGGGAGGGGACACCCCATGTGGACTACTACTACATACGGCGGCCATCGTTCCGCCGCACCGCTCCAGGGCTCCTGGTGCTAACCTCCTTCCTATGCGGCCCCCTTTCTTTTACCCAACCCGGCCCCACACCTAACCGCCATCTCACCTCCGCTTCGCCCTGGGGGGACATAAACACATCCAGCCGCATAAGCACCCACCCACCCACCCAGCCGCCGCCCGGCCCTTCACCCCACCTGCACCTCCAGCTGCTCCACGTCCTCCTCCAGGTCCTTGCCCATGTACTCCGCCAGGGCGGTCAGGGTCTGAGCCTTCATCTCCAACAAGTCCTCAGGAGACACACCGCACCTGGTTAGGGGTGGGTATGTATGTATGTATGCATGTATGCGTTAGGATTATATATATATATATATATATATATATTTATGTACTCCGAAGGGAACATTGCATACGTGCCCGTGTGGCCAGGCAGGCCGACACAACTCAAGGCTAACAATCAGCTGACAATGGGACAATACGCACGTGTGTGAGTGTATGAGGCCTCTCCTCTCCATCCCCTCTTTTCCCCCACCCGTTCCTCCCAGCCGTCCCCCACCAACCAACCCCACCTCACCGGTCAGCAATCAGCACCATCTGTAGCCGATTGAGCACCACCTCTTTGGCACTCAGACCGGTTACCGTCGAAGAGCCCTCGCCGTCCCCTCCGCCCGCACCCACACCGCCCCCGCCATGCGCCCCTGGAGTCAACAGCTGTCCCAGGCCGTCGGCCAGCTTGGACAGCGGCGAGGAGGGGTAGCGGCGGCGGGCGTGGGGCTCTGGCGGGAAGAAGACACCCCAGGCGAGGCGGCACTTGTGCATGAAGGACCGCCAAAAGTCGCTGTTGTCGGG